AACGAAACTAATAATATTGTAATTAGCAATAATCCAACTTTATACCCGAAAATGTCCGCCTGAGGACAGGCTAGTTTCTTAGGGATGGGGAAGTGACATGTGTACCATATACCACATACACATAACATATGTCCACAGCACCTAATGCCAACCCGTTATACATAATATACCATACCAAATATGTAACACGAGACACCCCAATTTGTAACAATAAACCCTAGAGACCCAAAAATCATAAATTCTTGGTGAAAATAACAGTTCTGGCGTGGGACCGATCAATAAATAGAAAACCATTAGACATAAACATCCGCCACAATAGTTATTCCCACCAAGTGCCCAAATAGCCAACGCAAATTTGGGCTCTTAGAATATTCTAGAAACTCATTAAAGAGAATGAGAGCATTGTTTAAAGAGAGCGAGCTCATGATCTTGCTCGCTAAGCGTTGACAAGACATTAATAATTGAGTTCTACTGACGACTTCGACCTGTCAAGTTGCATCGTGCACAACTGTAAAATTCCAATAATTCGCCTATTAGTCGCCTACTGTTAATAAAGATATTTTTTTTTCAAGTAACGCGTAGTGACTTATTTAGTTATATGTACATTAGCCGCTTGAAAGCAATAGCAATATATAGAGATAATGTTGTAGTTATTTAGTCCAGAGTACAGATCACAATCAACCTGAGACATCAAGATATCAGTAATTTTCAGAGACGCATCGTTGGCAATGTGGGAAAAAAGTGCTATTTGGCATTTCCTGGGATGAACCTATTGACAGCGCTGACTGGGGGGGTCCCCCGTGTTCATTTTCTCACGTCTGATAATTAAGACCGGTCGCTCCTAAGCCAAAATGACCCTCAGCTCCGCCTTGCACTAGATACTCTCTCACGCTCTTCACTTACCCCTCCGCTCTTCCTGCTGTTACTATTACAAACACTAGAGTTGTTTTTAGCTTAATATTCTTATTTTCTCCAAGTGAATTCTATTATATTTCAAAGGCTAACCAATTTTGTCTGCAAATAAGTAAATATAGGTAAAAATTAACCTATAAGTTAATTAATTAAAAATATTAATATGAGGCTATTAACGGGAGTTCCGGACTATAGGATACGTTCATCCCTTTTATACTAACACTACATTCAACTCTTGCTATCAAATCGCTTTCTTTAGGAGTTATAAAAAAAAATGTTTAAATAAAAGTTGGACGGAACTTGTAATCGAACGAATTACTATATATATACTATACTATACTTGACACCCATATTAACAATTCATTCTCAAAAAAAGAGAAAATGATTTAAAAGCAACATAGGTGCAAAAGCGCAAAAATGTACGCGCATGCATAAACAGTATAAAAATGACTCAATAAAAAAATTAAATTATTTTAATTTTGTTTCTGAACATTCAGTTTTTATAAGATGAACATAATTCATATTGTAAAATTACACAATTTATAATCTTAAATGGTATTTACATGCATGTGCATATTGTAACACTGTTAAAATCAGAAATATTCATATATATAAATGCTATACATAAGAATAATCAGATGGCAGCCCTACGACCAAATATAATATAATCGGCCACTCATACATATAAACAAATATAAATGAGCACACTCTCCCTTTCTGTATTTATGTTAAGCTAACAACTTGTAATTTACAATATATTTTATTTAGCTTAAAATATAGCAGCATTCAAACAGCCTTCGATTATACTACAGCTTATTATTAAGACTTACGACACAAATTTCCTTGCCTCGGCTTTACTACATTCACAAAATAAACCAAATCCGGTATTACGAACGATGGTCGACTCTTGTATACCACGTAATTTAAGATGTGCACTTGTGTTCGAAAATATCTCATAATGTCGTGATGTATATCCCTAAGTAATTTACTCCTATTTCGATAAACTATCTGCGCACACATGACGATAAAAATAACGAAGGTATTTCAAGAGCCGACTGGATTGGTCAAAGTCTCAAATAATAAAACTTAACGATCGGTCCATTCCCCCATTTTCTTTTAAGGTCACGTATTGAATTAGATCAGTAGAATAATTAGATTTGATAACTATTTCCTTTTCCGAAACAACTCCGTTCTACTGTTGGACTTAATATAAAGGAAACAAAGCTAAAACAACCTATGTGTACAAGGGTATGCCGAAGGTAAACTTTCTTGTTTTTAACTTACTCTGCTGCGTCATCTGTTTTGCCAGTGTCTCGGTCGCCGATCCCTTCACATTTTATTAAAACTTCTTGAAGTTTCTCTTGCACCAACTGTTCTCGAAGTGCCGAAGCGTCGGACTCCTTCCAGGCGTCCCCAAGGGTATCCCTTAGTTTTTGTAGAGCCTCTTCAGATGTTGCAGTCAAATCAAGTGCCAGACGCAATTTGTTTTCAGTAGAAATTATTTGAGGACGCAGCACTTCATTGTCATTTACTTCCTCCACATAACGACGGTGCAAATTAAATATTATATCAGCGTACCGCTTAATACGGGATGCCTCGAAAAACCGCTCTGCCTCCATTAAAAACTGAACAATCTTAAGACCACAGTTTGATAATAAAAGTAAAAATAAATAATTAAAATACAGATTCATAGACATCAAAATATAAATGTGCTTACCCGACTGGCCTCGTTAAAGAAGTTATCATTTATATCCGTATATAAGTTAAGTTCTAGGACATCAGTTTCATCAGTCCCTTCCTCGAATATCAACTCTGATTTCTTTTCCCATTGCTTTACTTTTTTCAACTTCTTTCCTTTTTTCGGCGGCATTTCAATAATTTTATGGTTACCAAAAATATACTTGCTCGTCAAAATAAATAATAAATATGTCGATTGTAAATATGTTATATTTTTTATATATCAGCTACCCATCTTATTGTTTGACATTAATACCAGAGGCTTCCTAGATTCTAGAACCTAGAACATAGATTAAAGTGCACAATGTTTTTAGATGGTTGTTTTTATCGGGTAGACCCCGGCCTAGCCCGTGACGCGTATAAAATCAATTCTCTCAAAGATCTTTGAAAATGAGATTGAAACGGACAGTAAACAAAAAACTTTCACACAACCGTTTTCCGTAAACTTACCACGTATTCACTAAGCTCTTATGTAGAGCTTTGAAAATAAGTTTGATGCATATTGGACGAAACTTAAAACTAAGCCCAAAAAATCTTTGAATCGAAAAGTGCGAAACACGTCTCAAATGGTTTTTATATATATCTATGTTTGGTTGCCTTATGTAAATGCAGGTATGTAAAGGGTGATTTTTTAAGAGCTATAAGAAAGTTTTTCAAAAAAACCCACGTAAAATTCAGAAAAATGCATGAAATCTTTATTTGAATCGATAGTACGGTCCATATAATTTAATGTTTGAAGATTATTTCAAGCAAATGTTGACCGCAACTGCGCTTCAAATGGTCCATCCGCTTAGTCCAATTTTGGCATACTCTTTCCAACATTTCGGTTGGTATCTCACGAATAAATGCTACAATGTTGTCTTCCAATGCGTCAATTGAAGCGGGCTTGTCTGTATAGACATGAGCTTTAACATAGCCCTACAAAAAATAGTCTAAAGGCGTTATATCGCACGATCTGGGTGGCCAATTGACCGGTCCCGAACGTGAAATAAAATGTTGAACGAACTCGTCTCTCAATAAGTCCATTGTTAGGCGTGCTGTGTTGCATGTGGCACCATCTTGTTGAAACCACATGTCATGCAAGTCAAGCTCTTGCATTTTGGGCAAAAAAAAGTTGGATATCATCTCACGGTAGCGCTCACCATTCACAGTTAGGTTACGATTCGCAGCATCTTTGAAGAAGTACGGTCCAATGATGCCACCAGCCCATAAACCGCACCAAACTGTGACTTTTTCTGGATGCATTGGTAGCTTTTGCAATTATTCTGGCTGATCTTCACTCCAAAATCGACAACTATGCTTATTTACGTACCCATTGAGCCAAAAATGAGCTTCGTCGCTGAACACAATTTTTCGATAAAAAAGTGGATCTTCGGCCAACTTTCCAAGAGCACATTCACCAAAATTTCTGCGTTGCGGTAGGTCGTTCGGCTTCAATTCTTGCACCAGCTTTATTTTGAAAGGCTTCCGCAAAATTTTCCACGTTGTTGAGTAACAGAGGCCCAATTGCTGCGAACGGCGACGAATCGATATTGGATGGTCATCATTAACACTGGCCGATACAGCTGCGATATTTTCTTCAGGTCGCATTCTACGTAAGCATGTTGGTGGATTAATGTCCAATAATGTAAATTTGGTGCGAAATTTAGTCACAATAGCCCGAATAGCCGCTTCAGTGGGTCGATTAAACTGACCATAAAATGGAAGAAGCGCGAGATGAACTTTCTTAATGGAGCACGCATTTTGATAATAAAATTCAATGATTTGCAAGCGTCGTTCGGTTGTAATTGCTAAGTTTAATGAGATTATCTTAGAAAACAGAATATTTTTTCATAATGGAACCTACTTTTCGAACGATCTTTTCTATGGCAGCTATATCATTTAGTGGCCTTCAGTTGATAAAATTTAACTAAAATTACGATCATAGTGCAACTATTAAAACCCCATTTTGATCAAGTAATCTTTTTAAAAAAATTTTTTAATACCATAAGTTACTTCCTGTCCAAAGGCAGTTATGGCTTTCTATGGTAATTATATGACACAGGGGTGCACTGTTGATAAGATTTTGCAGATATATAAGGAGCATAGTGAAATATTATAATATTATCCGAGTTTGGTCAAGATATATTGAGAAGCAAAAAAATTTTCCATAAAAAAAAAAAGGTATAATGTATTTGTGCAAATGTATATAACATGCAGAAGTAAGCATCTCCATAAAGTATATATATTCTTGATCAGCATCAATAACCGAGTCGATCTACCCATGACCGTCTGTCTGTCTGTCCGTATGTATGAAAGCAAGGATTTCAGAACCTATAAAAGCTAGAGACTTGAAATTGTAGCTGTAGGTCCTCCTAGTGCCCGCGCAAATCGAGTTTATTTTCGATATTCGATAACTTGCTCCGTTTCCAAGTAATCGATAAATATCGATATCGAAATCATGTAATTTGAGCAATTTTGGTAAGCAATAAGAGCTAGAGTCAACAAACTTGACATGTAGCTTCTAGAATAGTATATATATGTCAAGTACCTTTTATTTTAAACCTATCACCACCTCCACGCTACTACCACATAGATATAATATAAGTAAATAAACCAATTTATTCTGCACACAGTATAAGCCACAACATAAATTAAATTGACGTTTTGATAATTCTCTAGTACAGTATGATGTACTGTAGAAAACTTCATTAAGCTCGGTTAAGAAACACGAAAGAAAATGTGTTTTGGCATCCCACGTGTTTGCGGCAGCAAGCGCACACGTTCATGAGCGTCTTCTTTGAATTCTATTAACAGCATTGCAATTGCGATTGTATTGTTTTCTGTGCTGCTATTTTAATTTGTTTTTTTCTCATTAACACTGAATAATTGGTGTGGCTGTTGGGTAGAGGCGGCGGCAAGTACCATCGGTAACCGCTTGTCCTTCTGTTCCCAACCAAGGTGCATTATAGCCTCGTGAAAATGATTAATAACGGCCCATCTATATGCCCTCGGAACTACTGGTAACCATCGGGTTCTACCATTTCGTTGAATTTTACGATAAAGCAAGCCTAATCTCAATTCATATGTATTTGCAACATTTTCGTTAATTTCGTTGTTTTGCAATTTAAATAATAAAACTGATAATTCTGGATCTCGTTGTTCAGCTATAAGCCAGGTGTCACCAAGTATAGTTAAGTTTACTCGTTTTTCAGTGGTTTTATTTATGAGCTGGGGCTTCTACGTGCGCCATGCATTTTTCCTTCCCATACACAATATCAAACTCAAAATATTGCAAATACAGCCAACATCCATATACCTTGTCGATCTTTTGTTGTCTTGGCTTTAAGGAGTTACAGTCTGTGAGCACTGTAAATTTGCTACCTTGTAAATAATGTTGGAAAAATTTTACTGCGTTGACAACTGCAAAAGTTTTCAAAAGATATGAATTATACATCGACTCAGCTGGAGTTGTGCATTTGCTGTATTACTCAATTACATGGTTTTAGTCTCTTATTTTACGCAAGAGTATCGCACTATTGTAGTGTGTATATGCCCTAACCAAACACCCTGTATTTAAATATAAAGTATGCGGCACTTTGTTGCATACAATAACAATTATACAGTAAACAAGCCCAGAGCCACTTTATGTATAGGCTCTGGCTTTTATAACGCAGCGCGGTTCACTAGCCTCACTAGCTGACTGTTTATGCTTACGCTTCCTGTTTTTGTAGCTGCTAACCAATAACAGCATAAGTATATACATATATCCATAGGCTAAGTACATTCCATTGACAATGAATAAAATCATTCTAAAGTTCGATGCAAACACGCAGTGACGTGCTCGTGTGAAAAATTTTATTACATGGCGACCGTGACATGGGTACGATTCCCTGCCTGGAGGCAGTAGAACAAATGATAACATATGCATAATTAACAACAACAACAGCGGCAGCAATTTACGTCGATGGAATTAACACGGCGGTGGAACTAAAATATTCTGAGTGAGTAAGGTGGTTACAAAAGTGCGTCGCAAATGTCCATACGCATCACATTAGATGAGTATAGGGCAAGAAGATTAACGGCCAGGGCCCCGGCTGTTGATCAAAATCAAATAGAAAAATTAACCAAGAAATCGAGGCGGCATACAGCTGCGTATAAAAAATCGCAAAGCTGAGATATGCAAGCTGTTATATATTAGCAATAAGCCCCCGACTTGGGAAGATTCAAATAGACTAGCAAGAGAGCTAGATTTCCTCACTGAAGAGGCAAAGCGACTTAAAGCACAAGTAACCCCTTCTCCTCAAAATATTAAAACCATAAATTATAATAAAAAAATTCCACCGTCACAAAAAACCGCTGCCCAACCCAACAAAGAAGTGCCCAGAAGACTGCGAGGGACCACTTTTCACCACGGCCTGTGCGATGACCTGCACTAGCACCGCTAACCGCACCAAGGTAGCCAAAGATAGAGAAGAGGCAGAAAACAACAACAATTAATTTAGTTATTATAAAAATGTTTATAAAATTGTAATGTATAAAAAAAAAAATTTGTACAAAGGCCTTCTGCAAAAATAGATAAAATAACCAACAAAGAGGAAAAATCCATATAAAAAAAACCAAATTAAGAAAAAAATAAATAATTATCTAACTTTTCGCAAAAAAACATTTATTTGTTATTCTCCGAATAAAAATACAAGTTTTATTATTATAGATCACATTTATAACACATGGCAAATCAAACCATTATTCATGAATACTATTTTCATGTCTTTCAAACATAACCCTAGTCAACGTCAAGAGTCATTGTTAAAATGGGTGCAAAAGAATCCAAGGCAGATGATAACACTGCCAATGTAGTAAACGTGGTAGAAGTTGTAAATACCACGCCCCATTTACAATTAACAAACATACTGTTAATTATACTCATTGTAATAGCATCGGTGAACCTGCTTCTGAAGATATATCTTCTGCATAAAAAATCACTGAGGAAACGCTACATGAGTAGGGCTAATGATTTAGAAAAAAAATAATATTTCGAACATTTTATTACAGTGGGCGACATTACCATTTTATTAACATTTTTATAATAACTTAATTAATTGTTGTTGTTTTCTGCCTCTTCTCTATCTTTAGCTACTCAAGCCGGTGACTATAATAGAAAACGAAAAAGATCAAGAAGCGATACTGTTTACATATCATGACGATCCTATACAAGGAGGTCATACAGGTATTTCAAGAACGCTAGCTAAAGTAAAA